CTGCCCCCGTGAGCGCGCCGCTCTCCTCTGCCCGCAGAAAGCGGCGCTGGAGGGCACCTTGGCCGACACAGAAGCGCGCTACGGCACCCAGCTGGCCCAGCTGCAGGCGCTGATCAGCAGCGTGGAGGAGCAGCTGGCCGAGCTGCGCTGCGACATGGAGCGCCAGAACCATGAGTACAGGGTCCTGCTGGACGTCAAGTGCCGCCTGGAGCAGGAGATCGCCACGTACCGCCGGCTCCTGGAGGGAGAGGACGCCCAGTAGGCAGCGGGGCTTGGCTTGGGGGGGCACAGCGGGAGGAGGCAGGTCATGGACACAAATGTGCTGTCTGGGAACTCAGTCCAATCACAGCTTTCAGGGTCTGTCTTTATGCTCACACCAGCCATGGACGCCAGTGGTTCCATCCCTGGTTTGTGCCTGCAGCGAGATGCTGCAATGGGCACCTGCCTCTGCTGGGAGGAGCAGGCAGGTCATGGACACAAATGTGCTGTCTGGGAACTCAGTCCAATCACAGCTTTCAGGGTCTGTCTTTATGCTCACACCAGCCATGGACGCCAGTGGTTCCATCCCTGGTTTGTGCCTGCAGCGAGATGCTGCAATGGGCACCTGCCTCTGCTGGGAGGAGCAGCACTGTCCCTCTGCCTCCCAGGAGACACTGAGCAGAACAGTGGCTTTAGCAACCACTCTGAGGCTTTTCTGTCTTTCTCCTGCCTCAAAACAGAGGCTGTGTAAGAACAAAAATTCATTGTGTCCCTAACTTCTCTTTGTTTTTCTCCCTCTCTTGTAGCATCTCTTCTCAGTACTCCTCTGCCATGTCCTCACACTCCGGCAGAGATGGTAAGAACCAACCCTGCCTCCCACACTCATACCAACAGCTTTGAGACCCACTTTGGGAGCAGCTGCCCAAAGAGTGGAAATCCCTCCTGGGCCATCCTGTGCTGTGACAGCTGCTGACCCCAGGACACAGCTGTCTGGAAAGGAAACACCCCACTCTCCTTTACTGCTGGAATGATTTGTCCTAAATGGGCCTCGTGACTGAGCAGATGCTGTTCCAAACTTACACAGACTGGAAAAGTCACACAACAGGGCATGTTTAAGGAGTGTGCCTTAGGCCTGCTGGAGCTTTCCCACCAGCCTGGCCCTTCCCTCTCCCTAGCCAATGGGGGAATGTTTAAAACATCCATTATTTTCCAGTAACTTGTGGATTTCCCACATCTTTGTTAAGAACATGCAACAGCTGATAATGCATTAAGAAATTTCTTTTGTTCCTGTCCCCTGAATAATCTCCCTCTGCTTTCCTTTTGCAGTCATGACATCTTCCCGTCAAGTCCGCACCATCGTTGAGGAGGTGCAGGATGGGAAGGTGGTCTCCTCCCGGGAGCAGGTTGCCCTCACCACTCGCTAGGAAGCCAAGCTGCTCTGCAGACCCTGACCTTGGCCTCCAGAGAGCAGCGAGATGAACCAAGTGTTGTCTGAGGCCACACGTGCTGGAGGCTCCAGCCATCTGCTCCTCCTTCCTGTTTCACCCTAACTCCATGCAGGTGCCAGTGTGCACTCTGTACACATTTAATAAAGCTTTTTCCTTGTTCATGCAACTGACAACTTGTCTGTCACTGATACATGATCTCTTAAAGCCTCAGGCTTATGTGCCTGTGCCAGGGAAAGTCCCTAGAAACCACAAGAAGAAGGCAGCAAGAGGAGGGGAAAGGAGGGATATGGACTCCACTTGACGAAAAATAATTTGAGACAGCTTTTACTACTGAACTCATTATTCATAAATACATGGGACTGTCTGAGACATAAACCAGGTAATTTTGATACAAAATGATGGCAGTGATGGAAGGATGATGCTTGAGGTCAGTGTGCCACATGACTGATACTTAAAGCCAACAAAATAAAGCTCAGTTCTCTAACCCTTGGTATCCTGAAGAATCACTTTATTCTGTAAATTGAACTTAAATGACTCCAGCAAGACCACTGCTGTCATGTGTACTGTTCTGGGACACAAGCACACCACCAAACTGGCTGGCAAGTCTCACACATACATGAGTTCTGTCCTGTTTGTCTGTAAATACCATGACAGGGCACATTGTACCAAAACTCTACACAGGTCTTTTCATGCTGCCTGAGGTCTGCACTTAACAGGTTCTAAAATAATCATTGCTTAATCCGCAGAGGGCAAGTAGCAGTAACTTTTTATCACTGTGGCATCTAGTAGATCACTGCTGAAATCCTCTGGTAGCGCACGAGCCAGTGATGGGATGCCAACACCGCCCGCAGCCAAGCTGCCACTCAGGATTAGCTGCTGGAGCTCCTGCTGGGCAGCCAGGTACAGGTTTGTCTGAGGAGGGATGCAGGAGGGTTGCACATCCACCCAGCGTGTCTTGTGGGCTGGGTAGGAGAGGAAATAATTTCAGACCCAAAAGCCTCTTGGAGCCACTTAGATCCAAGGTAATGCTTTCTAGCCAGTGGCTCTTGGGAGCTCTGTCTGGTCCTGGATTGTGGCCTCATGTTCATCACCCACCTCAGGAATGTGGGCCTGAGACAAAAGGAGAATGTGATAATTTGCAGTAAAGGAAGCTTCTCTTTGCTCTTAATGATCTACAGGAGGCTTCTGCAGCCAAGTTAAGTGCTCTTGTCTCTTGGTTACTACTGATGATTCATTCTCCCACAACCTCCACAAGGCATCCTGGTCCCTGCTGGACAACTGCCAAGGCCTGTTCCATCACCACTGAGGGTGTCATGCTGGGCATGACAAGACAAGCAAAGGAGAGGAAGGTGATCGAAGAAACGGGGAACCTGCCAGGTCTTTCCAGAAAAGGAAGTGTGAAGAGATGTTATCATTCTGAATTACTGCTCACCAATTACAGAAAAGGGTGGGAAATGCAACACAGAGCAGGGTGCAGAGTTCACGGGCTGCATCCTGCATTTCTCTTATTTCTCCAACCCAAGTAAGATGCAGTAATCTCAAAAAAACTTCAAAAACTAGATGAAGCAAAAAGTCCTCAGAGAATAATGGTGAAACTTTAATGGACATAAAAACAAAACCCAGGAGAACCAAGAGTGTCCTTGAAATGTATCTCATCAGCTGAGACACGGAGATACATGCAGGATGTGCCAGTGTCAAACTTAACTTACAATAGCAGGAATACTTACAATGAATAATGCCCCAAATGTGTATCATGTTTCAGATCTTTAAGACTCCATGTTCACATCAGACAGTTGTTTTCACAGTGCCCTTGAGAAGGAGGATCACTGTTATTACTGTTTCCATCCTGCAGAGCCTGAAACTGAGACATGGAGAAGCTGTCCGATTTGCCTAGAGTGATTTGCAAGGCTGGGATCACAGCCCTGGAGCAGCTGGTGTCATCAGCGAGATGGAGATCAGCCCTGGTGCAGCCAAGAGCAGGCAGAATAAGAGGGCAATGACAATGACACCACCTGGTAGACAGGCAAATGTTGTAAAGAGCAAACACAAGAATCTCCCCTAGGTGAAACACTGAAATTTAGCTGAGAATGAGCAGACAGGAGCTGGGGCAGCTTGGAGCTCTCCCTGCAGTATCAGGCCCCTGAGGAGGCTGTTGGGCCCTCCTTGGACTGCAGGGACAGGCCCAGGCCCACGCTGGGTCGTTGGGTGCCAGCTGGGGCCTGGCTCCAGAACCTCTGCCCTGGCACCTCCTGGGCTGCGTCCAGCCTGAAGTGGAGGCGGGGCTGGCAGTGCTGGAGGTGATGGACAGCAGCTCAGGCTGCCAGGGCTCGGGGTTTGGAGTCACCGCATCTCCAGGGAAGTTCTCTTGGACATGGGAAATGCTGGTGACTCAGGGAATGTTGATAACAACGTGAAATGCTGGATCTCCTTCCTGGGGGCACATGACACTTCCTGTACTTTACATGCAATAACTTAAGGAACAGTCTTAAGCCTTAAAATATCACAAGACTACCAAAGGACTTCCCACTGGGGAAACCTGGTTTTCATTGCTCTTTGAACCTGATCATTTTGTAGAGCAGAAAAACCCCTGAGGACAACTCCACAGTGCTCATCCTGTATCACCATCCAGCACTCCCCTAGAAGGCAAAGCACCAGACACAAAACTAAGGCTGAAGTATAATTCCATTCCTTCTGTTTTTCACAAAAGCTGATTAAATGGGAACAGCAGCTTTGCCTAGGGCAGGGTTTTCTGCTCATTTGTTACTTGAAGTAGTAACTTTTCCCTGCCAGGCCAGCACGGCTGTTCCTGGAACTCCCACTGGGAAACCCTTGCGCGCCATCGCCCCCCGCCCCGTGTCAGCCCAGGACAGCTCATCAGAGGCATCGCCTGTGGCTCAGGGCTGTGCTGAGCACATTCCTCTCTGTAGACTCCAGTCTGGAAGTTGGTAAAAGTTAATTCTGGAAAGAACCTTCCATTATGCATGTAGATACTGTCATTAACAGATGTGCTCATAAAAAAATGAAAATCTATTTTAATAAAAGGAGGACTGTAACTGCTGGCTGGTCTTGAGGGGGGCTCTGGTGTAAAAGCAAGAGCTGCTTTTAATAAAAATTTCAAATTATGGAAAGGAAAACAGCTACTGTGAAGAACACAAATCCAGTAAAATCAAGAGTGAAATGATGGTCCTGCTTTACAAAAGCTGCAGAAAGTCTCATCACCTTTGGCTACAGAGACCTATAGCCAGGGCTGAAGTTCAAAAAGTAAGAAAGAAACCGGGACATTTCTACTTGCTTTTCAATAACTGGAAAAAACACCACTCATTACAATTCTAATTCTTCTTACTGAAAAATGAAGGACTATGTATTTTAAATGTCACCTTGGCATTAATTTTATTATTCTATGAAAAAAAGACAGATTCTGACCAGTCCTGCAGCCCTGACCAAGAGCAGCCACAGGGCTGTGGCCGAGCTCTGCGGCAGAGACGCCTGATCCTGGCCATGCCGCAGCCTCTGAGCAGGCACCCCTGGCACCATGGCACAGGCTGCACTTGCTAATTATGGATGTAACAAAGGATGGACATGCACAGAACCCACACCACATTTAAGGTGTTGTGGATTTGCAGTGTCAAGATAAAATCAAGACTAATGAACTTACCCAAATGGCATAAACAATATTGCTGAAACAGGCAGCACCTGATGCATCCTTATATGATGTGTCCAGGTGACTTGGATGCCAAACCCAAAGCTGAACAACCCACAGGGGAAAGGCAGCCAATATTAGCCTGGCTGTATTAGTAGTATTAATAAAGTGAAATATTCAGATGAAAAAACATTTCAATTATTTTAATTATTTCCTTTCTTTCTCAGTTCAGCATTTTGCGACCAAAAAATAGGTTTAATATCTTTTTTACATGATTTTTTCTTATGCCTTTTCTAAATTTAACACATCTAAATTTCCCTTAGATTATATCTGGAGAATGTTCACGGTGCTGGCTGGAACCGGGTCAGAACCATGCAAGATGAACCAGGCTGCTCCTGAAATTCTCCATGTTACTGTTTTAGAAATCTCATTAAACATCTTCTGTAGCTGCCCTGTCTTGGCAGTGAATATTCACATGTAACTGCAACATTTCATACTCAGGAAATATCCTTTTCTCTTTTATCTTGGATAAATACTTGAATATTTTTACTACCCTCAAAAGCAGCAAAGTAAATAGGAGGGAATCTCCCCTCTGAAAGAAGACACTTTTGATGCATACAGGAGATAGAGGAGTAACAAGCAATCCCTGGTAGCTCCACTGCAAGGTTTTCCTGTGCTCCCCAAGAGCCTTGCCAGGTCTAATGATGCAGCCCTGGCAGGTTCCTGCTCACACAGAATGTGACCCCCTCCCTGCACAGAGGGGCAGCAGGGGCCAGGAGGGTTCCTGGGGTCCCCAGGGCAGCTGAATGAGGGACACCCTCCCTTCTGGTCACAAAGGGGTCGAGCAGGCTCTGTCAGATAGGATGGCTTTCCCACAGCTTTCACTTTCCGGATAGACTCGCCCACATCAGGATGGATAATTGCTGAGATGTTTCATTCCCCAGGCGCTCTCGGGTATCGTCGTTTTTTGTGTCACTGGTGTTTAGTTGTCATCACAAGTCAGACCTGATGATTCAGGAAGTAACATTTTTGATGTAGTTTTGAAACACGCTTCTGTTAACCAAAGCATCTTTCTGTTGTGGGATTTCTGGAGACAAAAGCCTTTAGGGAAATATTTCCAGCTGAAAAAAAACAACAGTGCTAGCCAGGTCACAAGGAGGAAGAATAAACAGCCCTTCTCCGGTGGCAACATCCACAAGGAGTGGTATAAATAGAGGACTGTGGGGACAGGGCTCACAAGCGGATCCTGCAGCGATCCGTGCAGCTTCCCTTGGGCTCCGTGTTGGCTCCTGGTGTTCAGCATGAGCTGTGTTGTCAGGCAGGTGGTCCCTGCCTG